TTTCTCTTGTTTTTTCTTTGTGAGCCTGGCTAGTGGCCTGTCTATCTTGTTTATTTTTTCAAAGAACCAACTTTTGGTTTCATTGATTTTTTTTGGGACTGTTTTCCTAACTTCCATTTCATTTATTTCTGATTTGACTTTTATTATTTCCTGTCTTCTGCTGTCTTTTGGGTTATTTGTTGTTCTTTTTCCAGTTCTTTAAGGTGGGACATTAGGTTGTTTCTTTGAGTTATTTGCTTCTTTATGTGAGCTTGTATTGCTATATATTTTCCTCTTATAATTGCTTTTAATGTGTCCTATACATTTTGGAGACTTGTGTTGTCATTGTCATTCTTCTCCAAATATTTTTTGATTTCTTCTTTGATCTCATTGATCCAATGGTCTTCCAGTAGTGTGGGTTTTAGTCTCCATGTGGTAGGTGGGTTTCTTGCCTTCTTCATATGGCTTATTTCTAGTTTGATTCCTTCATGGTTAGAGAAAATAGTTGGTATGATTTCGATCTTAGTGTATCTATTGATGTTTATCTTGTGACACAGTATGTGGCCAATCCTAGAGAATGATCCATGTGAATTTGAGAAAAATGTGTACTCAGATTTTCTGGGGTGCAGTGTTCTATATATGTCTGCTAGACCCATGTTGTCCAGGTCCTTGTTCAGAGCTTTAGTTTCTTTACTTATTTTTTGTCTTGTTGATCTGTCCATTGTTGAGAGTGGTGTGTTGAAGTCTCCTACTATGTACGTATTCTCTCTAATACACATTTTCATGGATAAATACTATGTATGTATTCTCTCTGATACACATTTCATTTGCTAATATATTTTGGTGCTTCTTCATTTGGTGCATATATGTTGATGCTTGTTATACTCAACAAACTCCAAAGCATTAAATGCCAACAAGAATATTCAACCCTGCTAAACTCTCCTTCCTCTATGAATAAAGAATAAGGACATTCTCAGACAAACAGAAACTCCACAATTTCGTCCTGACTAAACCCCCACTCCAAAAACTACTACAAGAAGCCCTCAAACCAAATCCAACAGAAGAATGAACAAGAACAGTTCAAAACAAGGAATAAAAATACAGAAGGACCAAAATGGCAAATGTAGGTGACAGTATATCAATATTATCTCTAAATGGGGCAAAGTGGCTCCTGCAGCCTGCCAAACTTCCAGACGCCTGGGTTTTCCCTGGGAGTTTCCTTATGGGAACTCCCCAATCGCAGATGCTTCCTCAGTTATCTACCTTCTAGTGAGCCCAGGGTGTTTTCATTTGGGTTGAAACCAGTAGTATGTAAGTCTATAGTCTGTTTTCAGTCCTCAATTCCTGTGCAACCCTGGACGCAGTGATCGCAGCGTCTTTACTCTGCCGCCATCTTGATCCTCTCTCTGTGTTTCTTCTTTATCTTTTTTTTGTACCTCCTTTTCTTTCTTGGTTCTTTCCATATATGTTTCTTCAAGAGTACTGATTTCGTTCTTTTGTATTGTCTGTTTTCATGAATTTTTCCAGAATTTTTTAGTTCAGTTGATCTTTTAATATCTTGTATTCCTTTATTTTCTTATTTAAGGTTTCAGTTTTGTTCAGTTTGTTGATTGTTTCTCATAGCATTCTGTTCTGTACCTTATATTTGTCTTTGAGTTTTAAGTTCTTAGGCTTTTTTATTAAAATAATTTTGAATTCTTCATTTGACAGGGAGTGGAAGTCTTTTGTGTTCAGAAGAATTGGGACCCAAGACCCAGCATTGTTGGGTTCTGGAGTTTTTCCTTCTCTCCGTTGTTTGTTTTGGGTTTGCTATGCTATAATTAGGGCTTTTGTTGTGTATGGGTCTTTTCTTCCCCTTGTTCTGTGTGTTTACTTGATGTTGTGTATAGCTGCTGGGTTCTTATAAGGTCTGGAAAGGTGGTAGAACCTCCACCAGTGCTCTCCAAAGCCTGTTCTAGTTGCTAGGGAGGGAGAGTGCTTAGTCTAGAGACTGAGTTTTGGGGCTCTCACCTCTCCTAGGAACAATGACTCAGGGCCCTACAGGTACATTTTGAAAGGCTTGGTGAAATGCATTTGGCTGACTTTTTAAAATGTGGTTGTATATTATGTAATTTATGTAACGATATTGGAAAGCTTGGATATGATAATCTTAATGTCAGAACCTTGTCTTATTCATCTTCCTATCTTCAGCACTTTTTCTTCATGTTGAGCACAATTAAAGCTACATTTTATATGGATTAAATTAATTGAAACTCTTAGTTGAGTTTACAGAAATGTACTTTGGGTTAAGTGGGGGGTAGAAGCCATCTTATAGGTTTCACAGTCTTCTTACTTCTTCTCCCAAGTTCTTTTACCAGTCTTTAATAGCTTCTCAATAATTAGTTTGATCCTTCATAACCTGGAACACCGTTACAAGATTATAGGAAGTGAAAGGAGAAAGTGGAATCAATAACTTTGGTGCCTGAAGCCATAAGCAATAATTTTTTAAGATGGTAAAATGTGGGGGACCTTGACCAGCAAGGCCGGAGAGTCGGGGCCCCAGGTCCGGTGAACAAAGGAGGCAGTCACACGCGTGTAGCAGAACAAAGAAATAGCCTTCATTGGGTTTTATCTCAGCTTTATACAGGAGGAGAGGGATGCCAGGAAGGGAGAAGGCCAATAGAAATGCAACATGTTTTGGTGGCAGTTGGTCTTGCGAGGGGCGAAAGTGGGCGAGAAAAGAAAGAGGAAAAGGAAAAGGTGGGGGCAGGGAGTTCTTCCCACATGCCTTTTACAACACGGATGTTTTTCTCTATCCGGACTCCATTTCACCTTTTTATGACTGCTGACAGACGCCAGGTGCCGGCCTCGGTCCCCAACAGTAAAATTATGTGAAGATACAAGAGACAAGAAAAAGAATGATGGAGCAGAAAGGAAAGAATTGCTGGTGATAATCCTTTATGGGAATGTGTGTGGAATAACAGGAGGGCAACCAGTTTCTGCTATAGATTTGGTGGTAGAAATTTGAAGTTTTTTCTGAAGGTTTTTCCTGTAACATTTTCAACTAAATATTAAACAAGGTCTTCTGCTAAGAATAAGAAACAAAATGTTAGTATTTTCAAAAAGATGAGGAAACTGAAATTTTTTGCTAGAAGAAATTGTTTGCTTAAAGAGACTGGCACTAAGTAAATGAATTTGGGAAATATGACTGCCAGGTAGTTGTTAAGTGTGAATTGAAGATGAAACTGTATAATGTGGGCTGTTTGTTTTCTCTTTGGGTGCAGGAACCTAAGAATAGGTGAAGATTTAGGTTTTTTCAAGTTTGAAGTTTTCTAAGTATACTTGACAAAAAGCAGAGCAGTTGAACATGGAAGACAGTGACCATTTTGGTTGATTGTGGAATTGAAAATTGGTAATGAGGGATGTAAGGACAAGAGGACTCTGTGTAGTCAACAAGTTCTAGATTTCAACAGAATTAAATAACCATTGAAATTGGATATGAGAGCAAGTTGAGCTGGAAAAAATAAGAGGCGGTGGCGACTGTGCAGGGATTGCAATTGAGATTATGGAGAGATTGCAGTTATTGGTAATTGTTGGCACAGGAATTTTGGTGCTGCTTTGTAGTGGGAATGTGATGAGGGACACAATAGGTGAGGAACACAGTGGTCATGGAGCAGGTTTGCAAGGCAAAACTGCTACTTGAGCAGTTGTTCTTGTGCCATTTATTGAAATCATACAGGGTAGTAAAAGCTGATCATGTGACACTGGTATGAGGAATAGGATCCAGAAGGTAGGATAGAAATGGGGGACAAAGTTTTACAAGGGGAAGAGGATACCATAACCATGTTTCAAGAGATATTTGCATCAGCACAGTATGATGTTATCACAGGCAGAGTTATCCCAAGACCTCCATGGAGTTAGTTATGTGATCAGGTCAGCAGCGTCCTAGGCATCGCCAGGACTGCCTTGCAATATGAGCTTTACTTCATAGGTAGTCAAGAAGACTTATGTGATTTGTAGATAGCTCATAGGAGCCCATAGGTAATTACAAAGACATTATAGCACTGTGGGATGAATAATAGGTAGTATGGGAGACTATAGAAGTAGAATAATTTCAAGGAAATTGGAGCCTGGGATGTTGGAAAAATTATGTGAATATGAAAGCATTAATATTGAGACAGGAGTTAGGTTAGAATAATGATGATCATTGAGCTCAGTTGTGCAAGGAATAAGGACTAATTGTTCAGATATACATACATAACTACAAAGAGGTAGTGTGGGCAGTATTATTCATGACATGAAATTCAAAACAGGAGTAAAATAAAGATGTCCTGTAACATCTTAATAAAAATTCTGTATCTGCATTGTCCTGAAGTAATAATTTTTAATTGTTAATGCAGATTTTCAAAGGCTAATAACTACTAGCTTTTTATGGCTACATCTGAAATGAAATCTAGCAAAATGGAAAAATTAGATATTTAACTAAAGATAACTTGTTTTTTTCATGTCTTATTATAAAGAATACATTTCTGGTATTTTAACAGATGGGAAATAAGACCAAGATTGCAAAATATCCCTTGAGAACTAAACAAAATGGACACATTCTAAAGTCAACACAAAATACTTGTAACAAGAGTGAAAAACTTTTGCAAAAGAAGAGAATTGGTTCAGAAACATCACTGGCAAAAGGTGAAAGAGATAGTATGACTTTTTCACCCACTAAGGATTTATGCAAGCAGTATGCAGATAAAGACTGTCTTCATACCCATATTCAGAAAGAGACTTCACCCACAGCCCCTAATATACAGAATTCTAGAAACACCATAAATACTGCTGTAGTAACTAAACAGAAACCTTGCAAAAAACATGTAGCTGAAAATATGAAGAGCAGTTTGGTGTGTCTAACACAAGACCAACTACAACAGATTTTGATGACTGTAAACCAAGAAAATAGATCAAGTTCCCTGACTGAGGATGGAAAGAAGGAAGAAACAGGTAAGTTTTTTCTCTAAAGTTTTAGTCAATATTATTTTTACCAGTATGTTTTAGAATCATTATTTCATTGAATTTTTATGTAGCTATGCCTTTTAGGTTCTAGCATACAACAATCTTTGAAAATAATTGTTCTATTAAAGATCATGTTATATGTATGCAGAATTAGTTCTGTAATTATGACATACCGTATTTTAAACTAAATGCTTAGACAATTTTCAAGTAACATAGGCTTAAGAAATGTGGATTCTAGAAAAGATGTTAATACTAAAAGATGTTATGCCCATTTTAAAACATAGAAGATTTTGCTTTCATTACAGTAATTATATAAAATGTTCTTTAAAAAAATCACTGGTATTTCTAGTGAAAACTGATGAATTGACTTGAGGTTCTGAAATGGTTATTTTCCTTTTCCCAAAATTTTGGTTCTTTCTAACACTCAGTTCACGCTACGGATTAGCAGCACTATCTTTTTAACTGTTTGGAAGAAGTAGTATTTTATTAGACAGTACTGAAATAAAGAAAATTAAGTTTTCAGGAAGAGGCCCTGCAACTGATTTGAGTACCAGGTAACTCGGGGGAGCTCAAGTCATTTATCCTTTCAATGTATAGATTATTCTTTGTAAAGTGAGCAAGTTAGATTTCATATTAAGACAAGAATTATAATACAAAGAAAAAACAAAAAAAACATTAGTCATAATAATAAGCAAAATTTAAATAGAAGTTAATTATATATGAATGTGCATAATTAAATATGCTTTCTCCTTACTGGGAGATGTAGCACATAAAGGAGGATTTAGAACAAGCTGAGAATGAGCTCTGTGTAAATGTCAAATAGGTATGGCTGAGGCATGGTAAAGTTTTCCACTGGTTTCATAGCTAAATGAGAAAAATAAGACAAGATAGTGAATTTTTCATAGTTATTTGCATTTTTTAAAAGTTGTGATTTGTGTTATTTATACAGTACTGTTGGCTGAAGTAAAAGGAAGTTTACTTTTTGTTACTTATTTTTTTTATTTGATAGAAGTTGGGTGATTGATAATTTCAAAGTCATTGAACCTCTGGGGTTCATTTCATTGTCTTTATAAAAGGGGAATCATAATACCCACTTCATAAATAGTTGTGAGAAGTAATTAGGTAACACATAAGACAGTGCTAGCCTGTAACAGTATATTGAGACAACATATTGTGATATGTAACTTAGTGTTAATTTTAAAACATGTATTTTTACCTCCTAGGTCAGTATAGTCTACATGTAAACAATATTCCTAATCAATCCAAAGATGAGAATATTTGGGGACTACTCCAAAAAATTGAAGCAATCTCATCTGACCAGAGTGAAAATAAAGCTGTTTTAAATAAAAATGAAGAGATATCTAATCATTATGAAAAGAAAATTGCCATGTATGTAACTCATATGTGTTATTCTGGGGTTATCTTGGTAGTATGATTTTCTTTGAATTGGATGTAAAATATTTATACTGAAGATTAAACTATTTAAAAGTTTATTAGTTACTTATGGATTAAATTGTATAGACATATATGATAAGGTTTCTGTTATTATTTTTTTATTATTTTGTTTTAGAGAGAATGTATGGAAACCAGCTGACATATTCAGTACTCTTGGGGAAAGAGAACGTGATAAAAGTTTGTTGGAAGCCAAAAAAGCCCAGTGGAGGAAAGAGCTTGGTAGGTAATTACTATAATTTTATTTATAATTTTGTTGACTTAAGAAAAAATATGGGGACCCTCCCTGGTGGTGCAGCAGGGTTTAAAGTATAGCACTATGAACCTGGCAGCAGCCATTTCAACACAAGTTCAATTCCGGGCCAGGGAGGTGACCCACATGGCATGGCAGGCTTCTGTCTCGCCGCTGTTCCCCTCAGCAGTGTACTTAATTGATCTGCCTACTCTGCTCCCCACTCTGTCTCTGGTGATTCTTCTCACTGCCCCTTCACCTCTCACCTGTACCACAGTTCTGCATGCATAAATAAATCTTAAAAAAATATGTTGAGAATAAAGTACTTATTTCAGCATATTATTAGAAATCTCGTTTTATAACATTTCCTATCTATTTCTCTGCAAATCCTTAAGCTCTTTTATTTTACCTAGCCTTGGGTTGTGTTGTTTTGTTTAGATACCCCTGTGCACCAAAAGGCAGAGAGGGCCATTAATGTCATCAGTATCATTCTGGAGCCCTTATAGCTCAAAGATTCCTAAATTTTTCTCATTTCATAAGAATCCATTTCATACTTTTACATTAAAAAGGGCCCTGTGAGGTTTTTTTTAAAGATTTATTTATTGATGCATTCTGGGGTACACGCCAGAGGTGCAGGGGCAGTGAGAGGATTCACCAGAGACAGAGTGGGGAGCAGAACAGGCAGATTGTTGAAGTATACTGCTGAGGGGAGCAGCTGGCGGGTCAGGAGAGATCTGCCTCACCATGTGGTTCACCTCTGGGCAGGTGGGGATGGGGCAGGCAGCCGGCAGGCAGGCTGGGATGGGGCAGGCGGGGATCGAACTCATGTGGAAGTGGCACTAAGCTTCTTAGTGCTGTGCTTTAACCTGTGGCACCACCAGGGATGGCCCAAGGCCCTGTGAGTTTGAAGGTGGTTTTATTTAAAAGTAATCGGGGCCCTCCCTGGTGGCACCGTGGGTTAAAGCACAGCATAATAAAACTGTCTCAGCCATTACAGCAAGATTGGCCCACATGGCATAGCAGACCTCTCCTGACCTGCCCGCTGCTACCCTCAGCAGTATATTTCAGTACATCTGCCTGTTCTGCTCCCCACTCTTGTCTCTGGTGAATCCTCTTGCTTTCCCACACTTCTGATCTGTACCCCAGTTCTGTAAACATAAATAAACAAATCTTTAAAAAAGTAATTATTTTTTAAATTCAAATGGTTCAAATCAGGAATAGTCAATATTA